ATCTTGGATTTGGACTTAAGCCTAAGACTTGCTTCTGAATTCATTTAGACACATGTTTATATTATAAGGCAAGTCAGTCACCATATCTTTCGTATCATATCCACCCAAGATCGACACAATTTATTAGTGAGTTTGTACAGAGTTAGTAGAGGGGACAGTCCCCTCTACTAACTCTGATTCGTACGGGTAATTTCAGGGCGCTATAGCTTACTATTTCGGTAAATTAATATAAATTTAAGATGCATTGATCGAATTCGAACGATATTCTAAAGGGTCGTCACGAKAGGGTTAATAGTAATTTGTACTCACGCTGTGAGAAACATCCTTGACATCTATAATGGTTGTAAGTTTCTTAATCATGCCTTTGTCTATCAATCCAGTCAATGACCTGTGAACAATACAGGCTCATAATCGCTTGCAAGGTTCTCAAAACACACAAAATTCAAAAAGAGGCAATGCAGGGTTCGTACAGATTTTTACATATAAAATTCAAGGACTTTTCAAGGACTTTTTAAGGATTAATTTTCAATTTTCAAGGACACCAATTACAAAGAGAAAGATACAGTTAATAAACTTACTAGTCCTGTGTCTTACCAAACAGAAAAATAAAAACATTGTAGTCAACTTTGTTTAAGAACTTTATCTCTTGGAACATATTTTTCTCAATCTCTATTAATTTCTTTGGCACCGTATTGCACAATAGTACAACAGACATTGACAAAAGGATTGAAATATTATCAATTTGCTTCAAAGCTTGGCAAAATTGATCTCTATAACATTACTTCACAACAACCAAGACTGATTCAAGAAGGACTAAATTATCATTTTCAAGGACCTTTCCTCCAAATTCAAGCCGAAGGACTTTTCAAGGAAAATTTGCATTTAAGGACTTTTCAAGGACCTAGCTCCAAAATCAAGGACTTTTCAAGACTGTACGAACCCTGCAATGGTGAGAACAAACTAGATGTTTTTGAATGACAATGTTTTTCAATGAAAGTAATATTGTAAATACTAATTAATTAATTTTTACTATTTGTTACTATTCAAAGTCATGGTTGGAGCAAACCTTTTCAAAACTTTTCTATCCATCTTTGTTAATAAGCCTTCTTTTTCTTCTTCTTCATGAACAGCCTGTTAACAAATTGAT